CCCTCCCTTCCACTCTCTCTAAAAGCAATGGAAAAAATATCCTGGGGTGAGGATTAAGAAAAAAAAAACAAAAACTATTTCAGGCTTCTGAAATGCAGGAAATACTTCCATATTGTATAAAAATATTATTTTCTACCAAAATCATAATGCATAATTTTATAATCATAATATAGCTAAAACCTCAAAAGGCCCCTTTTAAGGGAAAAATAAATCAATCTAAACAAAACCCATTGAAAAAAAATCACTGTATCAAACCCACCGGATCAACAGTAGGCAAAACATCTTTCTTCTCCAGGCCATCAACTTCGTCTTCGTCTGTGCTGTATTCTTCCATTGTTTCACCACTGACAAAGTGGATGACTCTCCTTGGGACTTTCTTCTTTTTTCCGATGACTTCCAGTTCTACATTTTCAAAGCCTCTTTCATTACTCATCTAATGTTAATAATAAATTAAGAAAATGAGAGTTTAAATGAGATTAATATTCATTCATATGACCAAAAAAATTCCAGATTGCTTTATTTTAGGGAATAAAGAAACATAAGCAATCCTTAAACAGTTTTTTAAAAAATGAAACAGATCATACACACACAATAGCATCAATAGCATATAAAAAGAGCTTAATGAATAAAGCAAACATCTGTATACTCACTAACAGGTGAAAAAAAATAGAACTTAACCAATTAAGTTTAATTTTGTTTAAGTCAACAGCCAAGAAATCAAGCACCACACTTCAAGTCATAACAATTCCAGTACTATATAATATATGAAGACATGCTGAACATCAATCATTTTAAAGACTGCTAACTATGGCTGAATTAATGTGTAATATCAAAAGAAAATCATATGACACATATATACATATGTTAAATACATAAAATAAAATAAATTTATATTAAGAAAGTCTAAGACTTTGGATTTGAGTTTAGCTATGTGTGAGCAAAACAAAACCAGTTCAACTTAACTCTGAAGTTCTCCTTTTCTCAAAACAGGAGCCCTAAATTCAAATGCCTTTTAGGACCAAACAAGTACCAAAAGTGAGTAAAGCTATAGATGGAAGGATAAATGCTTTGGAGGAAGCATGTCTCAACTAGACAATAAACTGAAAATAATTTTAAAGCACTGTGCAGGTCAAATAAAACTCATTTGTAAACCAAATCTGGAAAGCAGGTGATCAGTGTTTTATGTCTGAACTTCCAGATTTCTTAGTCAATAATATATAGATGACAACAGAGTTTTCCTGCTAGTAAAATATTTTATGAATTTTAAAAGTATAATATGTAGCCTATGGAATTCTAATTATATCCAAATTCTAATCCTACATACACATAGCATACGTATAGCCATATGCCAAACTCAAGAGTAAGTGCAAACTGTGAGAGAAATAACTTTTTTTCCTTCTCACCTTGCCTCAGGTTTGAACTCCTAAGAAAGCCTTCATTGAATCTTCTTACCTGATGATTTTTAGAAGGCACAGTACTAATAACTGTGAAAAAAAATCTGGCAACAGTGAAAATGGGGGAGGAAGTATAGGTAAGGGAGTTGTCAATGAGGGTTTTTGTTCATTTTAAAATTTTGTTTGTTTTGTTTTTTGATGAGAATATGTTCGTGTATTACTGGTACAATTTAAAAAGTAAACCAAAGCAAAATGATACAGGGCTATAGGACTGTCATGATTAGAATCCATTTCAGTGGAATTCTCTAGGATAGTCCAGAGTTTAAAGTTTTGTCCTCTATAAGAATTCTTAAACTTGTAAATATGACCAAACATAATTTAAATCCATGATTATTCTTTAACTACTAGTATAACTACAATTATATTAGTTAAGTTCCCTGAACTACATTTGCAGAGAGATGGGACTATACTGATAAAAAAAAATAGTGGACTAGAAATGCCAAGTAATGTAAGTAATAAGTAACTTTACTTTTATACTTTTATACATTTTTTTTTAATCCTCTAAAGTCCTTCTTAGAAAATAGATATGGTTCTTCCCTGTCCTTCACTTCCCAAAAGTAAGGTTAGTCATTAGCCAGGATTTGAATCCAGATACAGTATATCCAACCCAAAGAATACAGGCATTCATTGTTCCATTAAACACATAGTCATCGCTGACAGCAACTATAACTGCTGTATAGCAAACAGATCATAAAAACCTTGATAGCACGGGGTATCTATGAATTAACTTGGAAAAAAAAATTTGTTTTCCCTGTCTTAAGGTTTCAAACAAATCCGAGCCCTTAATAAAGAAAGCCCAACCCATTTATTGTGCCCATCCACATCACCTTTCTTCTATCCCGAATCCCTAGCCACAGTAAGCCATTCCTACCCAATCTTGTATTGCCCCATGATGTAAGATTTTGTTTATGATTATCTTGACATCAAAGTCTCCTTTTGGACCATGACTTTTTGGATTCCCTTATAGACAAGGGAAAGTCAGAAGAGCTGGTTTAGATCTCCAGTCATCACACTAACTGGATGGATCTGATGCGAAAGCACCAGTCCCCGTCAGTGAATAGAGGTGAGACCTTTCACAGTACACCACCATGCTTCATTCTATCCCAAAACCACTCCCATCAGAGCAGAAGCAGTTTCTCACTGCTCCGTAAGCAATCTCTCAGAGGCTGAACTACTGTATCTTCCTTAGACAACTTTAATAAATCGAAACACTCTGGTTGGGTCATAACTAGTATAAACTTAGCTATTCTATTAACTGTGACTCTTGGCTATATTCTTAACAAAAAGTTCTTAAAAAAATCTACAAAAGGCTGAAACAATTCAAATTTTTTCATTACAATACCAGTTAGTTGAGTATAAACAGAAGTTTGAATAATATTCTCTCTATATAATATGTAATTTAAAATGGAATTTTTATTTGTTCTAATCATTACATTTCATATATTTTTATTAACAAGACTTTTATTTAAGGGTTTTCTTTTTAAATTTAATATTAATTTTTTTATATAGTAAAACCTAAGTTTTATAATCTTAAGCAGGAGTGAGCAAACTTTTCCTATAAAGGCCAGAGAGTAAATATTTTACGCTTTGCAGCTATAGTCTCTGCCACAACTTCTGAACTCTGTAAAAGCAGCCACAGACAATCCATAATAAATGGACATGGTTTTGTTCCAATAAAACTTTACATAAACTGGTGGTTGGCAGGATCTGGCCCATAGATTATAATTTGTCAACCTCCCTTCTGAAGAAACCAGATTGTCAAATTTGAAAGCCTGTGAAAGAGCCCAGCCAGTGTGGCTCAACTGGTTGAGCACTGTCCCTTGCACCAGGAGGCTGCCAGTTGAATTCCCCATCAGGGCACATGACGGTATCGGACTCAATCCACAGTAGGGGGTGTGCAGGAGGCAGATCAGTTTCTCTCTCACGGGTTTCTCTCTCTCTCTCTCCCCCACTTCCTCTCTCTGAAATCAATAGACATATTTAAAAAAAAAAAATCTGTGAAAGAATCTATGACATGTGATTCCAACCTCTTCTTGGGGTGGGAGAGACAGTTAAGGGAGGTATTGATGGGTAAAACCAACCGGAAAGTAGTTTGGTACAAAATTTCCAACAATTACAAATAGAAGTTATTTTCTGAATTTTGCAAACGTTTTATTATTTTAATTTTTCAATCGCCTGGTTTTTAATATAAAATTCATATATAAAAGCCCCGTCTCAAACGACTTCCTACACACGAGCACACAGAAGCATCTGATCGAGCAATTTCCGCAAACAAAGGACATCGCTGCGACCTGCGGACCCTGATGGAGTTGGCAGCTCCAGGAACTTCAGCACAGCGCCAGCCACACGCTGGACACGAGGGTGGCTGTGACTCCTTCCTCCCTGAACGGTGACAGTTCTTCCTACGCTCCCTTGGGCGCTAGAGAAACTCCAGAGAAGCCTGAAGGCCAGTCTAACTGCAAATCTGATCCCCACCACCCATGAGACCTGTCTGCAGGAAGCTTTTAAAATCCTAACTGTCCAACAAAAACATTCCCTGGGGTGCAAACGTTTTATTTTTATAGAAAAACAGTAAACATCCAAATAAAACTTCATTGTCAATTATACAAATTCTATTTTAACAAACTGCATATATCTGAAAATAGTTTCTAACACAAGAAAATAATGAGATGCAATGTCAATTAACACTTGATTACATTTTATGGTTAACCAGTCTGTAATTCTGCTTATCTTGTTCCTCAGTGCCTGTTTTTAATGGCAATATGCTTTTTATATACTCCCATAATACCCAGAACTTCTTTAAAACATGTACTACACTTTTTATACACTCCCACAGCACCCAGAAATCTTTAAAACATGTACTTTCCCAATTAGGTGGTTAGCAACATAGGAGTAGGCACAGTGTGTATCCTTCATTGCTATAGTATTTAGCCTATAGCTCCTGGCACATTGGTAAATGCTTGGTAGCAGAGCTGCTAAATAATGCTAAATGAAGGAGTAGTAAAATTTTAATTCCTTTAATTCTGGTTAAAAGTCTGGTTAGAGAAGCTGTTGGATGGCCTGGTTTGAAGCCTAATGCTAAACACATACCCAAGCTCCTATCTCTTACTCCCTCCCTACATGACACTTTGGATTTCCCAGTTCTGACAAATGGACGAAAAAGGACAGGATGGTGGCCTCTCCTTCCGTCCAAATCCTCGTGGAGGAAGGGAGAGGGAGATAGAAACATCAATGATGAGAGAGTCATTGATCGGCTGCCTCCTCCACGCCCCCCACTGAGGATCCAGCCTGCAGCCCCACCATGTGCCCTACCTGGGGATCCAACCACAATCTCCTGGATCATAGGTCCATTCTCCACCGCTGAGCCACGCCGGCCAAAGTGAAGTTCTTCATGACCAAAAGTGTATACAACTTGTTTCAGTTAAAGCAATTTCTTCATTAGTTTTTCTTGGCCAAAGGTTCTAGACTACTACTTTAGACTACCAAATCCAAAACAAAACAAACCTTCAAACCTTACCTGTCTAAACTAATGCTATCCAAAACATTAACCACTTGCCACATGTGGTTAATTAATGCTCACATGAAATGTGGATAGTTCAAACTCAAATGTGAGTAGGTTTAAAATGCATACAGGATTTCAAAGACTGGTACCAAAAAGAGAATGTAAAATATCTCAATGATAACTTTCATATTAATTACATGTTGAAATTTGTTTCTGAAAATTGAGTTAAATACAATATAATATTGAAATTAATTTCACTTCATATTAATTACATGTTAAAATTTTTTATAAACTGGGCTAAATAGAATATTAAATTTAATTTCACCTATTTCTTTTTACTTTTTTACTGTGGCTACTAGAAAATGCAGAATTTACAATGCAGTTCGCATTATATTTCTATTGGACGGCGCAACTCTGGGCCTTAGTTACCTCGCTGGTGAAATGGATATAACTCCCACCTCACGCAGAAGTTATAAGGATTAAATGAAAAAGCCTGTAACACTTAGTACTTATTTGCTATTAGGTAAGCAAAGGGCAGATGCAAAGTCAGGCGCTTGCAAAAGGAGAGACTGAGACGTGATTGAAGCCGCGTCACCTGGCCTCCAGCACTAGGGCCACCTTTCGGGGTCACGCCTGCGTTCTCTCGTTCACAGACCCGAAGCTCGAATATCACCCCTGGAAACCCGAGGCCGCCCCAGAGTCTGAGACGCTTCCAGCGGAGGGGTTGGTGAGGAGTCCCTCCCTCCAAGCCGGTGTTTTTGAGCAGAGGCGGGATACTGAGGAGGAATCCCGGAACGCACCTCCTGCGGGCGGCCTGCTCCGAGGAAGGCCCGTCAGGCCAAAAGGGCGGCCGGCGGACAAGGCGGAGGGGAGGCCGGGCTCTCCTGGCCTCAGCCTAGGCGGCCTCGCCTACCTGCGGCGCCGAGTCCCTGACGGCCGCGGCGGCCACAGCTCCCGAAGCCGCGACTGCTTCTCCTCCTTCCGCACGGCTCACTAGCTCCCGGTCCATCGTTGTCGCCGCCACAGGGCTGCTGGCGCTGGCGAGATAAACCGTAATGGCCGATAAGCCCACTTCCATCCTCCGCCTACCCGCCCAGCCGTGGACACAGCCCGCACTCGGGAAGTGGGACTCGCCGCAACGCCCGCCTCG